CTACTTATGTTTGTTTATTCCCATAGTATGTGTTCTCCAGTAAATTAATTTATTATGATATAAACCTAAAATTTGGGCAGCCTGGGTGCCTCAGCAGTTTAGCACTGCCTTCGGCCCAGGGCCTGATCCTGGAGTCCTGGGATCAAGTCCCACGTCGGGCTCCCTGCATGGAGCCTGATTCTCCCTCTGTTTGGCTCTGCCTCTCTCTCTCTCTCTCTCTCTCATGAATGAATAAAATCTTTAAAAACAAAAACAAAAAAACCTAAAATTTTTTCTACTTTAATAGCCATATTTGAAAGTTTATCCATACATACAAAATAATACCAGATTACAGATGCAACTGACAAATATTTTATGGAGAACTAGAGAAGCTACATTTTCTATTCTCATCTAGAGGCACTTGAAACATTTTCACTGAGTACGCAAATGTGTGATAATTAGAATCTTGGCCTAGGAGTTAGAAGACCTGGATCCTAGTCCCTGCTTTGCTTCAGGCTGGCTGGGTGACAGGGACACATAGCTGTCTAGGGTGTAGTTGAGCCACAGCCTCCCAGCTAGGTTCCCAAACTCTCTTGTAGCTTGTTGGGGCCATGCAAGAAGGCTTTTACTACAGGAATATAGGAAAATATGTTGTGTGACACAGGCTAGGCCTTAAGACATTGCACTTGTAATCTTCCAAGTAGTTTTTCCTTCCTGTGAGCTGGAAATTAGGCATTTGTGAGACATGCTTTTGTTTTTTTTTTTTTTTTTTTTTTTATAAATTAATTTTTATTGGTGTTCAATTTACCAAAATACAGAATAACACCCAGTGCTCATCCCGTCAAGTGTCCCCCTCCGTGCCCGTCACCCCCACCCCCGCCCTCCTCCCCTTCCACCACCCCTAGTTCATTTGAGACATGCTTTTGACTATGTAGACAAGGACAAAGTTCCAGAGGAGATTGGGAAATCATGAGTTTAACAAAAATATACAGACTTCCTTCATGAAAGAGTTCTCAGACCCTTTAATTTACTAACTGGGATTGACCAAATGGGAAATAGAATATGTAATATTTTTAAAAAATATATTAAAATATTTTTTCAATGTGGGATTAATTCTTTGAACTCTTGTATCTTCCACCTATTTTGCAAATTATGCTCTGGGAAATGCAGATTTAGAGGATCTCTAATTTGTCTAAGTATTTCATAAGGCATGGCTGGTGTTTAGTCCATGGCTGGACTCAGACTGTAGCCAGACTTCACAGATCCAGGGCTGCTTTCAGGATACTACTGCCTCATCCAGGGCACTTTCAAGTGGAGCTACCCCATTCCCAATCCTCAGCAACGTTCAAACAAGTCCCTCTGGTGGGCAACAGGCAACTCTATAAAGCTATGGATGACTTGAATAACTCGTGGAAGTTATTACTAATGGCTGGAAGATTTTATTTGAGGATTTTGAATTCTTTTCCATTTACTCAAGTAGAAAGATGACAAGTTTCATGCATCTAAGAGTCACTTTTTTTTTTTTTTTTTGTTCTTCTCAGAGGACACTTATAAGCAGAGAAGCAGTGTGGAGCTTAGCCAAAGAAGCCAGACAAGAAGATCAGAGTGGGCTACCATGGAGCACCGGTGGGGGGGGGGGGGCATCAGCAATGATCACGGGTCCTGAAATGGCTCCTCTGGTTGTCCACCTATGATGAAAAACTTGTAGGAAGGCTCTTCATGTGAGGCCTGGGTCGGGCACTTTGCACTCTCCCACCACCACCAGCAGTGGCTGTTTTTGTAGATTCAGAAAATGACTGATGTCCAAAGGATTGAGAAAGCTTTGGGCTGTTTCTGTAGTGGGCACATGGCTAGTCAGTGGTCAGAGTGTTTAAGAGGATCCAAATGATGTGTTTTCTGATAATTCTAATAGAATCCAAAAAATTCTTCTGTCCAGCTCCAGGTCTTACATATCCTCATTAAGAAATGTATATGGTGATTGGTAAGATGACCAGAGACTAAAGCACAGAAGCATGCTGAGAAACACATTCTAAACTGACTGTGTTCTATTTAAAAAAAAAAAAAAGTGTGAAAATAGCCATCATACATTGTGAAGGACTATACTTTCTTTTGACTGAGTGAACACATCCAGTGCTGTTAATGCAGCAAAGGGTTGTGTGCTTTTTAAAAATACTAATCCGTTGATTCACAAATTTGGGCTGGATCTAAAGCAGGCTCCGCACTTTGGGAAGGCATCCCCACAAACTTTCAAAGGGTGCTGAATGCTGCTGCAGGTTATGATTGGTTCACCAAGAGCTCAGTTCCCACCATGCTGGTTTGCAGAACTCCCCTAAGAGACTCCACAGTGGTTCTCCTCTGCTCTTCTCTGCCTTCTCTGCAGCTGGTATCACCTGAACTTCACAGCTGGATGGTCTCAACCCTCCTCCTTCCCCATGGATGTTTAAGAAGAATCAAAAGATAGAGGAGGGAAGGACTCACCTCCAAGGGTAAGTGGGAAGCAGTGAATGGACTAAGGATAAAGCCAGAAATGAGCCAAAGAATTCCATAAATGACAAGTCAGAGAACCTTATAGGCTGTGGTTGGAACAGGAGGAGCATTGACTCAAGGTTGCTTCCGACTCTCTTGCAAACTGGCTGTGAGGACCAAATAAGGTCCTGTCAAGCACCAGGGCCAGCCCTTAATGTTAGTGCCTTTCTGAACCTTGTGTCCTAGTGGCCTCTGTCAAGGCATATTTCCTGCCATGCATCACCCCTCCATGCCCCTGTGCACGACCAGGATGTCTTTCTCCTTCTCCACCTGGAGAAAACACTTGCTCCAGAGGACCCAGCTCAGATGTCACCCCACCCCTGACTACATCAGAAAGTCAGTGGCAGGGTTCCGTACACTCATATTTGTCACACTGTGTTGATGATCTGTTTCCACCAACTGTACTGAGAGCTTCTTACTCACCTTCATACCTTCCTGGTCTCTCCTGATGCCAGCACATCTTGAGGACATGGGTACTCGGGAAATAGGTGTTGATTAGAATGAACAAACAAACAACTAAATGTTCTATGGCCAAAATGGAACAATGTATGTTGGAAAATAATGCAAGTAGAAGGAAATAAAATTTCCTATGGGTTTGGAAAGAACTTTATTTTAGTGTACAAATAATAAATATTGTAGTCTACAAATGTGAAACACACTCATTCGAGAAAGATACTTTGTTGTTAGGAAAGGGGCACAAGAGGGTAGCTCCACAACAGAACTTTCTGAAAAATTTCAAAGAACATTCTGTTGGCCAATTTTGCTGAAGAGCCTGTCCCGGATCGTCTGTCCCTTAGTCTCTGCCCCTTTTTTGGCCATGAAGTCAAGGGCTTCTTTATGAATAAAGTGAGATGCTTATTTTTGTTTTCTTGAATTCTGAAGTGATTTTCTTGAGTCACACAAGAGACAGTCCTCAGGTGCTTAAGAAAGAAGTTCCCACTCCATTCCAGAAACAAATCAGGGAACCAAAAACTTAGCCAGATCGCATGTTCAATGAAAAGCTAAAATCAAATCATGCTCACAATTCCAAAACTAAATCCAAAACTAACTCTAAACGTAAACAACTCCCATGGTCAGCATGCTGGTTATTAGCCATGATTTCTCAGCTTCCAGCCCATCCTTCCAATCTCTGCTTTGTGGCCTGAGGCCACTCACTTCCTCTGCCAGCTACTCCCTGTGAGGCTCAGCCAATAGGGCAGACTGACCAAAGGATGGGAGTGGGGAGAGGGATCTGTGTGCCTGAGTTCCTGTCAGCATCCCCCTTCAATTGGTCTTCACCCCAAGAGCAGCAGCCAGTTCCAGTAGCTATAGTTTGCCGCTTTGCCAGCTCTCCCACAACCAGCCTCATCACCAACCCTCGCTTTAAGAGACTCCAGTATGGGCTGGCAGCACCCCCCCCCCCCCGCCGAGTTCTGCATCCAGCTCTGGGAGCAACTTCTAGCTCCTGGGACACCTGTCCCATAGGGCAGCACTTCCTCCTCAGAGGGCTAATCCCAGCTATGAGGTCTATGTGGGGCCACCTCCAACCTCTTCCCTTTGCTCCTGCAGCCCTTGGGCTGGTGGCTGTGGCTTGCAGTTAACATCTCCACGATATCAAATTACCAACTTTTTTTCCTGTTAAAATCTCCAACAGCTGGGTATGTTATCCACTATTCTTTCCACTAAAGTCTCTCTGCTCAAATAACTGATGTGCTTCTTCCTTGTTTGGATCCCCTACACTAATTCTAACACTAAATAATTCTGAAAATGAAATAAGTAAAAAATACAGAATACAAAAAATTTTTAAATGGCAAAGATGTAACTGGAAAGTAATAATTAAGAATAACTGAAAATTCCTCGAAACTAAATATCCCAAAAAGTCTGAAAATAAAAAAATCAGGAAATATAATACTCAAAAATGCAACAACTGAAAGTAATTCAAAACCAAATAACTAAAAAAAACTAATAATAATGAATGTAAAAATAAACAACCCCAAATCTAAAAAAACTAAAAATAAATATGACTATAAGTAACTCTACAAGGGGAAAAAAACCTCCAAAATAACCAAAACCACTTTATTCTGAAAATAATTCTAATTTTAAAACTTCCAGTGAATTTTTAGTAGTCAAATAAGTATCTGTAAAAATAAATAACTCAAAACTCCAATAGCCGAAAAAGAGAATAAGTATAAAAGTAAATAACTCAGATATTAATCACTGTAAAAGTAATTTAAAATAATTCTAAAGCAATTTGGAAATGTGTAACTCTTAAAATAACTGTAAATAAGACACTAAAGATGAATAACTCAAAAACTAAGTAACTTTGAAAACAAAATATAAACAAGTCACTTTAAAGCTATAAAATAAAAAAAAATCAAAAAAAATAAAGCTATAAAATCAAATAACTAGAAAATGAAAAGTAAAGTTAACTAAAAATTAATAAAACGAAAAATAAATAAATAACCGAAACTAATTTTAAAACTAATAAATGTAAAACGAAATACCCCCGACGTTACCTTGAAAAGATAGAATCCGGGAACAAAGTAACAAACACCGCGCCAACATTCTTGGGGGGATCCTGGGAGAAGAGCGACCGGCTTCCTCCAAGGCTCCGATAGGAGGTTCTCAACGGATCTCCCTCCCCACGCCCACCCCAGGAGAAATGTGGCGATGTCTGAAGGCATCCGGATTGTCATAATTAGGGTGAGTGGGTGGGGGAGGGGTGTTGCTGGCATCTTGTGGAAGAGGCCAGGGATGCTGCCAAATAATCCACAATGCACAAAACAGCCCCCCCGCCCCCAACAAAGAATCATCCAGCTTCCAAAGTCAAAGTGTCAACCTCCAGAAACCTTGGGCAGAGCCCTCCAGGACTCGGCTCCGCCAGCCTCTGCAGAGCGGGAGAGAGCGGCTCCGCGGTTCGCGGGCGCGCCCGCGGGTCCCGGCGCTCGCGCAGGCGCGTGGAGGAACAGCCCCCCGGGTCCCGGCGCTCGCGCAGGCGCGTGAGGAGGAGCCCCGAGTCCCGGCGCTCGCGCAGGCGCGTGGAAGAACAGCCCCCCCGGGTCCCGGCGCTCGCGCAGGCGCGTGGGGAGCAGCCGCGGGTCCCGGAGCTCGCGCAGGCGCGCGAGAAGCAGCCCCCCCCCCCGGGTCCCGGCGCTCGCGCAGGCGCGTGGGCAGCAGCCCCGGAGCTGGCGGCCGTCTGTGCCCGGAGCCGGACCGGGAGCCGCTGCCCGCTTGTCCGCGGCGCGCAGGGGCGTGGGGGGCGGCGGCCCCGCGGGCAGGCCCCTGGGAGGCGGTCCTGGTGCTCCCCCCGGCCGGCCGGGGTGCAGGTCCGCAGGCTCCGCGGCCCCTCGGCTGCTCCGTGCTTAGGGAGGGCCGGGCCGTCGGCGCCCCCGCGGCCTGCGCGGGAACGGAGGCGGCGCCGTGGTCCGGGGAGGGGCCCCGCGCGTCCTCAGGCGCCCGCACCGCGTCTGCGCGCGAACCTCGTGGCCGCCCCAGGGACGCTGGCTCAGGCCTGTGGTCCCGAGTTTCCAAGGAGAGTCGGGGGAGCCGCGGCCGACGCGTCCTCTTACTGTTCTCCTCCCTTTCACACTCACATGTCCTCGTCTCCACCTTCTCTTTTTCCCCGGATGCTTTCTCCTGTGGCCAGGACAGATTTGCAGGAACACGTTTCATAACTGTCGTCCAACTGGAAAAGTCCGGATAGCTGGAAGGGAGGGGAACAGTGGTGCACCCTCAGCGCTGGCAGTGCGAGAAGCGCCCGTGACTCCCGCTGGCAGCTGGGGGCCCACCCTAGCCCTCCCCACGGGGTCGCTGGGGATCCCAACAGGAGCCCCATATTTATGACCAGAAACCAGTGCACTGCTAGGGAGATGGGGTTGAGGGCCGTGCTGGGCTGGGAGGGTCTGAGGCACTTTGCAGATCCGGTGACCTCAGCTTCCTGGTTAGGCCTGGTCCTTCTGGGTGAGAATCATGAAAAGGGGGGGATAGAGGCATGGGGGAGAGGAAGAGGCAGGAGAAGAGAGAGAATGAGGGAGAAAAATGAAAGAGGTAAGCAGGAAATAAATTACACTCAGAGCACTGCTCTCCTTTTCCAGATCTTCTGCACCTTTCCGCTCCTCAAAGGTTTCCATGGAGATACACTCGCTGCTGGAGCAGCCTTGGAGAAAGAAAGGGAAGAATTTGGCCTGCAGTGCCAGAGGGGATGGCCAGATGTCACAGGCAGTGCCCATGCCCCACAACCTGGTCTCCCCAACTCTAACTCCTACTCTCCCAGGACCTAGATTGCCTCACCTGGGAAGGAGGTGGAGGACTGTAATCTCCAGGTTCCCCTTTCCAGCTCAAAATTCTGGAACCATGACTGAGAAGGCAAGTCTACATGGTGTTCATAGCCCTACTCCTGGCCCTCTAAGAAAACAGTCATTGCCTTTTTGTGCCTGACGGCTTTATTCTATAGCGTTCTACTCTATTACTCTAGTCCACTGTATTCTGTTGTGTTCTATTCTATTCTATCCCATTCTGTTCTGGGGCCAGAGGAGGAGAGGGGCTGTGGAGGTGGTGGGCTCACCCACGATCACCTCACAAGACCCTTCAAGGGAGAATTTCTTCTGACGCAAACTGCAGCTGCTCTGGGTGAGCCCTCCTATGTCTCCCCCATGGGCCCTGGGGCTCTTGGCAGCAGAGACTCTACCCTCTTCACCCAGTATCCCCCATGGCTCCCAGAAGAACCTCAGAATTCTCAGAACCAGCAAACCTAGAGAATGTCCCTCAGTCTAAGCTGGAAGTGCAGGGGAGAAAGTGCAGCTCACAGTTGGAGTTTTGCTGTATGTCTGTCATTTGCACATCGAATCCCTTCCTCCTGGATTCACTGGCCATGGGCTCTTAGGGGGGTCTCAAGTACTGAGTCATAGGAACTATAGAGGTGACAGCCCTAAGGGGACCCCAGGGTCTGGCAGGTTACATGAGTGAATAAATGAAAGGCCCATTGTGCAGTGGTAAGAGCAGGGGTCTTGGAGCCAGTGAGACCTGAGTGCAGTTCTGACTTTGCCACTCATTTGCTAGCTGTGTGATCTTGGGTAAGCCTCTCTGAGCATCAGTTTTCTTGTCTATAACAATGAAGATAAAAATATCTATTGCAGTTTTGATATAAGGATTAGCAAAGGGGAGGCGCCTGGGTGGCTCAGTGGTTGAGCATCTGCCTTTGGCTCAAGGCGTGATCCCAGGGTCCCAGGATTGAGTCCCACATCAGGCCCCCCCGCAGGGAGCCTGCTTCTCCCTCGGCCTATGTCTCTACCTCTCTCTGTGTCTCTCATGACTAAATAAAATATTTTTAAAATAAAAAGTATTAGCAAAAGGGCTTATAAAGTAAAATGTCTGGTACATCCTAGGAATTGAATAACATGATTATTGTTAATAATGATTGCAATAATACTAAAGAGAAGGTTTCAGAACAGGTGTGGCTACTCCAAGTATGCTATTATTACTCACATTTGGGGGAGATTTGTTTGCCATTTTCTTCATCTTCATAAATATCTGGGGGAGGAAACATAAAGGTAAATGGCTTTTAAAAATTGAGCACACGCATGCACACATGCACACACATGTGCACACACATACATGAAAAACTAAACATAGAGATCCTTGAAAAATATTCAATTTGATTAGAGCAAAATTTTAAGCCATAGTTGCATTCTTGAAAAATGAGCAGAGTGGCTCTGGTACCAGTCAAGCTCTAGTGGTTGGTGGGGAAAGTATACTTTGAGTCTCTGGGGCACTCCCACTCCATGTACTAAAATAAGCATTAAGAATGTTGGTAGAGAAAGATAAGAAGAATGGGATAGGTGGGCTGTAGAAATTCATGCTAGTTAGGACTTTTCCTTCAGTGGATGATCTTTTGCACACCTTACTTAAATCCCAAATGGTTTTGGGAATTTAATTTCAGCACTTAGCGTTTAGAATTCTGATCTTGTATTTTGGTTTAAAAGTTGAACGAGGGATCCCTGGGTGGTGCAGCGGTTTGGCGCCTGCCTTTGGCCCAGGGCACGATCCTGGAAACCCGGGATCGAATCCCACGTCGGGCTCCCGGTGCATGGAGCCTGCTTCTCCCTCTGCCTGTGTCTCTGCCTCTCTCTCTCTCTCTCTGTGACTATCATAAATAAATAAAAGTTAAAAAAATTTTAAAAAAAAAGTTGAACGAAATTTATTAACAAGTGAACCCATTAGTGACTTTATCTCCATCAATATACATGTTTTTGGAAAATTATAAACTTTGAAGATAAAATCATGCCTTTCCCTTGCTGTCCACTAGATGGCATAGGGGGACCACTGTAGATCCCACTGGTTCAGAGGCAGCTCCTTTCCCCATGGATTTCAAATGGGCACACCATCTTTATTTTCTTTCAAACTAGATTTTTCTCTATTCCTTACAATTATGCAAACATTTTAAGGGATTTATTCTTATTATTTGAGAGAGAAAGAGAGTGGGCACAAGCAAGGGAGGGGCAGAAGGACAGGAAGAGAATCTCAAGCCCACCCAGGACTAAGCATGGAGCCCAAAACCCTGAGATCATGACCTGAGCTGAAATCGTGAGTCTGACAGGCACTTAAACGATGGAGCCACCAATTACGCTAAATTTTTTAAGGACCACCTCTACCACACGAACTAAATAAAGTATATCATTTTCACTTGGGGGCAGTAGGGTGGAAGCATGCCTTAAAGTTTCAGGTAAACCTTTCCTTTCCTTCCCTGGAGGAACAAATGCAGGTAACTAATTGCTAATGATAATATGCAAAACAGCCATCTAGGCACTAGCCTGAAAGCTTGGATTCATTTAATTCTCACAGCATGACTATACAGTATTACCTACCTTTTGTAAAATAAATGACGTAAAGAACTTAAGCAGAAAGAAGTGAAGTAATTCATCTAAATACATAGAATGAGGTGTGAACTGTGAGCCCTTAACACTGTGCTATGCTGCTAGTGAAGCTCCTTTTCTGCCTTTCTAGGAGTTAACTCATGGGGTCATTTTATGCCCAATCCCAACCTGTAGCTCTCCACAGCTCCCGCAGCAGGAGAGATCTCCAGGTTGTCCCCAAAATATGAGGATGGATTAGGAGGTTTGCTTGGTAACCCAGAGTGTAAATGTGGACATCAAAGCTGATCTAGATCTAAATACCCATTTCCTTTGCAAACTTGCCCTTGGCCCAGAGGAAGGGAATCACTCCTAATCATTCAATTAATAACTTTCAGATTGCACACATTCTCCCAGCACCTTTTTTTTTTTTTAAGTGTGTCTTCTGTTGTCAATATTTGCCAGTTTCTAGGCAGTCTGAGCTTGTTGTCTTGGACTTTAAGAGCTGCTGGGAGTTGAGATCAAAGAAACTTCAGAACCAGGAAAACACCTCCAAGCTCAGCAGTCAGCTGCCATCACGTGATTTGAGTTGGGACAGGCCCACAGATGGGTGATGGGACAAGCTGATGTGTCTAGTTGGGATCAGCCAAAGCTTGTCCATTTCACCAGAAATTTAATAAGAATTTTCAAGAAGACTAAAATATAAAGACCCTTAACTTGTTTGTGTAATATGGCTCCAATTTTTTTAAATTATGCATTTCTATAGACAAAAAGTTTAGTGTAAAATATTTACAGTGCTTATTTCCAGTTATGTCTGATTTGCATTTTTGGGGTACTTTTTTGCATTACATTCTAAATATGTATGATTTATACATGTATTCTTTTTATAATCAGAAAATGAAGCTTAAAATACTTAAAACCAATTGATCAGATATCTAAAATAACCCACAATCCCACCAGAGAAGACTGTTACTAGACCTTATTTTCTTTATCATGAGTATATCAAATCATTTTGAATAACAATAAAGTAATGGAATAATGAAAGTAACCAAATCTAGGCCTAAAAGGAAATTCCTATCAAATCAAAAAAGCAACCCTTATGTACTACACTAAATGGCTCACAGATATTAAAGCAGCCTCTCCCCACCCCCAAGATCCTGAGGGACCAAAGAAAGGACCCACAGTTAG